AGCCCAAGGGAGCAAAAACGCTCAATTTTTCTTTATTTGGAACAACTGTTCTGTTTGCTCGAATTAGCGACGATTACTTGGACAAGTGAAGGGGCGATACCTGGATTTGAATTTTTTGTCAATGTGTGATCCGCTCACCGATTGTCCACGGATCTTGGTATTCTTGATTCTCCTGTTTACTACAACTTGACATATTCATTTATTGACCTGTTGGATTTTTTTACAGCGGGAAAAACAAGAAAATCAGAGACCTGAAGATTGTTAACAGAGTGGCAATGATATGACATTTTCGTTACAGCATCGAATAAATGTTTGCTAGCCACAGTGATGAGAAAAGATGTAACAAACGATAGCAAATGATGATAAAAAGTAGTCAGTGACAGTGGAAATATACCATATTCTTCAACAGTTGTAAAAAATTGTCTTCAGTTTTTTGAGAACCATTTACTGGAAAGCTCGATTTCAGAACGTGTTTATTGGAGGAAACAGCCCGTCTACAACTTATTTATTCGTTCCGATGGTAAATTGGTACTGGCCTATGCCAACCAGTCGTACTCATGATCAATTTGCTTCTCAACAACCCACAAAAGAAGGAGCCGTAGATAGTTTTGCCAGCTAGTATTTACTGTTTACATTTGCAACCACTAAGCCATTTCTTGAGTGCTTTCGCCTTTTGTAGAATATCTAGTAAGATTATTTGAAAATTACATACTCTAATGGATCGGATAAGTTTGCAGTTTGTGTTTTCTGTTCACTAGTATTATTCATCAAAAACTTCTGAAGAACTTTTTGAAATATCCAGTAAAATTATTCGAAAATTACAACGAATGCAAAAGGAGTTTTGACTTTTAGATCCGAACAACTTGCACACATGTGAATACAAATATACACATTTAGTTTAAAGAGCCAGAAATTCATATTCCAAGACTGGCAAATAACTCCTAACACGGATGCATACTCATACTGTATTTTGGAAGAAATCAGGATGCGAGGTTCCACGATTTTCAGGATAATTTGAGATTGGCTTTGTTCGGATTTACTGGCAGATTAGATTTGCCTCATTTAATATGCTGGCAGTTAATCTCGTTCAAATCCACTAAAAACAAACAACTACACAACAGCGCCCATCACTTAGCTAACATAGTTCTGTGTGCTTGTAATAGGCTGTTGCAAATTTAGGAGGGGTTAGTGAGGTAAAAATGCAGCTCTTTTTACCGCATCACGTTGAGTTCTTTCTGGACCTATTCATTACAGAAAGTGTACCAGAATCTGGAATATTATCATCGGATTTCGTAAGTGCGTAAAGTTTCTATGTGAAAGACAGTGAGGTATGACGTTATTTTTGGTCATGCAGCTCGAATAATGCTTTAAACTACCCATGAAAGTTCTGGGTCTCTAACTGCGATTCTAGCTTGCTTAGTAGAAATTGCACAGAATAAGTCCTGAGGTCAGTGATCAAAGCAAAACGCAAGGTACTAAAAGATTTCAGGATTTTGATCTCGTAAACGCTTAAGGTTTCTAAGTTTCTAGAAGGTTTCTAAAATTTCAGACTTTCAGATCACACACTGAAAGCTTATAGGGTTTGATAATTGTTGATTGTAGAAAGTGTATCAGAATCTGGAATATTGTCATAAGATTCTATGAGTGCGCAAAGCTCCTAAGTTAAGAGACAGGTTGCAGAGAATTTCAGATCAACGACGGCTCGGTGCACAAAATTTCAGCATCATAATTTTTGTGGTTCCAGAGATCAGAAGACAGGAAGACAAAAACAGACACAGGCAAGAGTTCATATTTAGCCAGAATCAGTTTCCAAAAAGGTTCGCAACGTCCAAATTCTGGTTGATTCAGAATCAAACACATCTTCATCCATATACAAAATTCTTGCGGTCAGCTGTAGAGGAACAGTCATCAATCGAAATCTTGCGGTAAATCAGCGGTGGATGCTTGCTCGGCATGATGATACGGTTTTCGATCTGAATAATCACGGTTCTCCTCATTCAGAGTCGTAGTAACTGTTTCCATGCCAGGATTTAAACCAGCACTGTGACGAAAGATTATGTTTGCACCAGATCCTGCACCAAGAGCTTCGACACTTGAAAACGCCGTTTTGAACATATGTGACAGCGAAAAACTGCTGATTCCTGAAAATTTTAACTTTTTCATTTTCTTTGACCAATGCTGTATTACCTGGTGGTCAGCCTGCTGACGCTTCTAACATTTATGCCATATGAATTTTCGTATGCGTGAATCAATTTTTCAGTAATAGTTATGAAGAAAAAAAAAAACAAAAACAAAGAATTTTGCAGGTACTTTTCCTAAACAGCTTACCAGGAAAAACCGATGGGCATACACGTCCAATGTAATAGTACACTGCAGCCAAAGCTAGAAGATGTAGCACTGCATACCAAAAATTGACAAACAATATGATCAATATATTCGTTATAGCCTGAAACAACCAGTGAAGTAAAAAAACATGAAACGGTGATCCTGAATGATAACGATTTTCTTGTTATGCAGAAAGTGAACCAGACTGTTATCATCTGTTTCTCACAGAGCGAACAAGAATTCAAAATTTCAATTTAAACAGCAATCCTGAAAAACTGGATTTTTTGCATGACTTTATCGTTTGCCCTAAATTTTTCATTTATCCCAAGAGAAATAGATAACGGAGAATTTCCGCCTTATTTTTGAACCGATAATGAAATTTGATCCATTTTGCCTTTAACCAGACCATAATACTGACATCTTTGCACCCTTCCATGCTATTGGTGTAACCAGGAACGTCTCCATGCTAAATTTGCCCGGCCCTTGTAAGCCAATAAAAACGTTTAGGACTGAGACTGTACCATTTATCCATGTGCCTTATCTGTCCTTTTCATTTCACTCTTCCCTCGCATGAAGAGTTCAGCTTTACTTAGCACACAATGACACTTGAGCAAAATCGAAATTACAGTACTTCGTTGGAGATGTGCTGGGATGTTGTGTATGCAGCTTGCTGACACCTACCATGGTCGTGCCATGCCTCGTTGGGTCACTTTAACTTTTTCTTTTCTTAACAACATTGACGCCTACCAAATGGCGAAATGCCTGTGAGAAGTTAGAAACGTTTTAATTAAATTATAAAAAAAAAAAAACAAGCGCCGGAGGAGAACCTAGAAACATGTAGATAGCTCCTTCCGGCAACTGTCATCTTCCGGTATTTTAAGAAAAAACACAGAACAAATACTTTCTTAAAATTTTTGAACACAAAAGTGGGATTTGACCATAAACAGAGACAGATATGAGAAACTAAATTTGACTTTGGTCAAAAAACATTTTAACATACCCCGATAAATGATATGTAACGATTGCTGAAACTCGAATACCATGTTACTGGCTGCCCGATTATAGAACTGTCCATCTTATCTGCTGGAAAGTTAAATCAGTTAAAATTTCCAAAAATTTTCTTCCAGCAAATAGAAAAAATTAGGTTTGCTCCATTTGCTTTCGTATTATAGTGCCAAATAAATGGCAACGCGCACCAGACTAGCTGGTGCGGTCACGCGTTTTATGCAATTCAGCCCATCGAACGATTGCCTGTTAATGATTTTCACTTCCTTGTACTTTAGTCTATGCAAAAATACCCATCGAACGATTGCCTATTAATGATTTTCACTGCTTTGTACTTTAGTCTATGCAAAAATAGTTCTAACATTGAAAAACAGTTAAAAATTTCACGCACCAGCGTATGAAAGCTGATTTCGAAACCTTGAAGGAGACATTGGAAAACAGTAAAAAATTTAACGCACCAGCACATGAAAGCTGAATTCGGAACCTTGAAGGATGAATATCTTTCCGTGATTCCCGAGTTAATAGTTTA